CTGGGTTTAGAAAGGTGGCCTTCTGGATCCCTGAGCTGATTTGTTGACTGGGAAGGCTTCTGGCTGTGGTCTGTGCACCCTTGGGATGGTATCTATGTGTACCTCTCGCTGGGGCCCCTGTATAGCTGTTGTCTGAGGGCCTTTGGCTGAGGGCTGTGTATCCCAGTTCCTGTTGTCCATGTAGGCTTCTGGCTATGGTCTCCAGGAACTTATCAGTGGTATCAGGGTGAGCCACTGGCTGTTGCTTGTATGTCTGTGTAGTTCTTTTCCAGGTGGGCCCCTGGCTGTGGCCGATGGTCTGGGGCGGGACTCTGGATGAAGTTTGCACAGCTGTGCAGCTCTTTTCTAGGTGGTATGGCTTGGGCACGTGTGCCCACACCTTTGAGTTTGGGGCGGGGGCCCTAGCTGGGACCCACCTGCAGCTGCGCCATTCTGGTCCACACAGTTGCCTCCTGGAATGTGCACACACTAACCAGTGGCATGGCGGAACTCTGGATCACATAAGGAAGTCTTCTAACAAAGGATCAGTAAAGAAGAAGAGAACTGAAGAGATGAGAAAAACAAGTTATTTGATTTATTTAAAAATTTTTAATTTAATTCAAATTGGCTTACTACTGTACTGACCTATTCGGCTGTGTCAATGCTCAACCAGGTTGAAGAGTAACTTTTTTTGTAACTTTCTGTTTGGGTATTTCAAGGGTAAATTTTATGTAGTAGAAGAATAATATAGATATGTTGTACAGGGTCATTATTTCACTCGTGTCAGTGGGTGTAATTTCAAAAGATTCTGGCTTCATTTTTAATGTTTTTTATTTAGAAGATTTCTTAAATAAAAGCTGTAAAAAGTCAGGGTCACACACTTTCAGAAGCACATGCATCAGTGAGTACAGTGGAGGCCGGTGGAGAAGCGTGTGCCTGACATGAACAGGTAGCTCATGGAAAGGCGAGGGCTGCCATGACGGTGCTGCAGGCTGGTCCCCCAGGCTGGAGGCTGCAGTCCCAGGACCGTAACATGGCAGGTTTGACTTTTCCCGAGCCTGTTCTCGTTTGCTGCAGATTGCTGCCTTCTTGCTGGATTCACACATTGCGTCTCTGCCTGCACACGAGTGCACACCTGCTGTCCTCTCTTTATGAGGACATCAGTCCTTCCAGACCAGGCCTCCCCGCTTCCAGCTGCCTTCCACCTTCCTCCTTTGAAGGCCATGTTTCCAGATGAAGTCACTTTGCTGGTTACGGTGTCTACGTGTGAATTTGAAGGGTCAGGGCATGGTATTTTTATAACAGATTGAAAAGATGCTCAGTCACATTTTTAGTGAAACACTACTTTATTTAATTTTAAAAATGTATCCGAGCATGTTGGTGCGTGCCTGCACTCAGGAGGCTGAGGCAGGAGGACTGCTGCAAGTGCAAGTTTGAGGCCAGTCTGGGGAACATAGTTTAAGCCCAGCCTGAACTACAGTAGGGAGACCTTGTCTCAAAAAAAACAAACAAAACAGGAAATTTAAATTCACACTTGGCAAAAAGTTTTAAAAATTAACATTGTTGAAGATGTAAGGGAAGAACACTGTGATTTATTGTGAAAAGTAAAGTGACACATTTCTGAAGAACAGTGTGGCAGACATGCAAGTTTAATGTGTACATATGCTCTAACTCAGGAATTTCAGTAAGGCAATTCCATTCTGTAGAAATGCAGTAGAGAAGCTATCAGTACAGGAATGTTCACTTAGGGTTATGTGTAATGGTGACAGACTTTAATGTACATATTTGGCAGGAGAATCATGAGAAATCCACACTGGGAAACATTGGCAGCTGAGAAAGAGTCATTGCAGACAGGTGCCTGAGAGCCGGATGCCCACTTTCTTACTGAGTGGAAGAGTACAAGTTACACAGCAGCATATAATCTTTCCCCTTTGTTGTAGAAAAATAAAGCCAAAAACATTTATCTGTATTTCAGCCCGTGCATAGCAGCTGGGCTCTCTGGTGCACACCTGGGCTACTGAGATTGTCTCAGATTCTTCTCAGAAAGGAGAAGGCGTGGACACTTACACAGTAGCTGTGAGCTCCTGGGTTGAATCCCCAGTGTGGGGTGGAGTCCAAAAGATAAACATGAATCATGGAAACTGTCTAAACCCACTGAGTATGCGGCGCATATCGGAATCCCAGCTGCAGGGGCACCACACGCAGGAGGGGGACCCGTGGGGTCAGCCTTGCCAGCGTGGTGAGACTGACTCACAACCAAAGTGCTGGTAGCTCAGCAGCATGGTGCTTGCCTCATATGCAGGAGGCCCCGAGTTTAACCTCCAGTCTGGTAGAAGGAAAGAAAAACATCTAAAACTATATACCCCACAGTTAATAGTGGCTACTCAGTAAGGGAAAGAAAAAGCTCCATTTTTTTTTTTTTACTATTTTCTATTTTGTATTTTTTTAAATAATCTATCACTATGTAATTTTTAACTTAAAAGTGGAAGAAAAACTCGATACTGTCCCTTGAAATATGCCAGTCACAGAATATAATGAAATATGAGCTATTTTTGCCTTTTTAAAAAATTCTGATCATAATTTTGAATGTTTTTTAAGCATTAAGAACAAAATGTTGAAATTTATTTTAGAAAAGATTAGAATTTGAGCTGCCATTTTTTTAGTCACTTTCCTGTATCCTTTTTTTCTTTTAAACTAACAAGACAGCCTCCTAATGTAGTTGAGACTGGCCTCTTACTCAGTATGTGGCCCAGGCTGGCCATGAACTCTCAGTGATCCTCCTGCCTCAGCCTCCCAGATACTGGGATTACAGGCCTGCACCACCAATGCCCAGTTTCCTATATCTTTTGAAATAGGTGGTATTGTAAAATGTTGTAAAATTTGTGGTGGAAAAAATGTATATCTCTCAAGAATGGCCTTTAAAAAAAAAGCTTGTTTGGTTGCTTTAAGTGATGAACACACAAATAAGATATAGATATATATATCAATATATCTTATGTATAAATATATATAGAGAAAAATACATATGGGACACACACACACACACACACACACACACACACACAAACGTGACTTCTGGAATGACAATATGAACAGTTGTTCCTCTGACCCACTTTCCATTGAAACAGCCATAACTGGTGATCATTATTATTGTCCTAAGGCTATAGAGCAAATGAAGAAACATTTATTCAAGAAAATTGCCAAATCTCATTAAAAACAGCAAGGTTTTGGGCACATGCTGTGCTTCTCCCATTTGTCTTTCATGTATCTAAATTTCTAGGATCACCACTACTCTTTTGCTCTGGGGCCTTTGTTAAGGAAGAAAAGGGTTATTTGGATAATGCAGTAATCAGTCTGAGAGCCAAGCCAGCTCGTAAGTGACTAACAGGCAGGTAACATATGTACAGTAGCCCAGTGTGCCTTGGGTTCAGTCCCCAGTACTGCACAAAAACAAAACAACACACAAACATAAAAAGCAGTAAGAGGTGTCGAGGATGTAGAGACGTTGGAACTCACATATGTTGATCAGAATATGAAATGGTGCACCGGCTTTGGGAAACAACAGCTCTCAGAATGGTAGACAGTTTCCCTGTGTCCACACAAAACTAATACATGAATGTTCTTGATAGCATGTTGCATAATAGCTAAAAAATGGAAGTAACCTAAATGTTCATCGTTTCACAAGTGGATAAAATATGTTACAGCCATACCATGGATTTTTAATACACAGAAGCAGGAAGTAGATTAGTGCTTGCCTGTGGCTGGAAAGTTGAAGGGGGTGTGCCTGTTTTGGGGTGGTGAGAGTATTCTAAAATTGGTTATGATGATGGTTACACATTTAAAACCCGTTGTAGGCAGGCTTGGTGACGCACACCTACTATACTAACCAGCAGGAGCATTGCTACAAGTTCGAGGCCAGCCTGGGCTACATACATAGTGAGAGCCTGTCTCAAAGATAAAACTATTGTACACTTTCGTACACTTTCACTGGGCTAATGGTATGGTTTGAGAATTATACTTTAATAAAGTGCCATTTTAAAAATTGAGTTAAAGAAGAAATAGTGGAGTGGCCTAATATATTTGGGTTAGGCTCTAAAGTCATAGCGTAGCATGAAAATGGGGTCTATTCAGAGATCACCGTTTAGCTAGAAGAGCTAAGATCAAAATCCACAGCAGCCGGTATTTCCTCTTGCCAGTCTCATCACAGAACACTGTGCTGTGCCTTTAGGTGGTCATAAAGTATTAGTAGTTTATTTTGGAGCTGTGGTGTATGAAAAATACAACATTATGAGAGGCACTCAGAATGAAGCTGACTGGGGATTATTGGATACATAGTTCCAGTTTATGCTGATATGGGTAAAAGTAAGATTGTATGGTTCCTAGAATTCTGTATTGTTGACCAGTTTTTCCAGGCTAAGCATACAGGTTTTAATTTCTGTATGTTAAATATGCATAGATGATTCACCTCCACTCTACCATTGAAACACTTCATTTTGTTTTGTTTTGTTTTATTTTGGGTTTTTGTTTTGTTTTCTTTGAGACAGTGCCTCGTTACATACTTAAGGCTGGTTCTTGAACTTCCTGTGCGGCCCAGGCTGGCCTCAGACTCATGGCGATCCTTCTGCCTCACCCCCCTGAGTGCTGGGATTACAGACATGTACCACCCATGCCTGGCTTTGAAAGCTTTATAATCTGTGAAATGTGTATGAAGGTGTTTTTAGTAATTCTATTATTATTCTTGTTTCAATTAGGGTTAAAAAGGTATTTTAATAAAAAAGAACAAAAGCTGGAGTACCAGCTTTTACATCCAGTCTCAGATGGGAAGCTTTCCTTTGGGAAGGGAGGGACAGATCTCTTCTATCTAAAGGGAGCAGGAAGAATATTTTCTAGTTGGAACATTGTTACATAACTTAGCAAGTCAGAGGTGATACTCAGTAGAGAAAAAGAAAGTGACACAGCACTGGGGAGAAAGTTTATTAATAATTGGGGAAAACTTTTACTTATTATGTTCCTTTTATTAGATTCTGAAAAGAAACTGTGTCTTCTGTCTGAGGAACAAGAAGCAACAAGCACTTTAGTAGAAACCATCAGGCAGAGTATTCAGCACAACGATGTTCTGAAACCTATCACTCTGCTCTCCCAGCAGATGAAGCCAGATGTGAAGAGACAGAGGTAATAATCCAGTATCTTTTACTTGATGCTGTTTTTAGCTGGGAATGCACTTGTAATCCCAGCTAGTTGAGAACCTAAGGCAAGAGGTTTGCAAGTTTGAGGCCAGTCTGGGCAGTGGAGCAGGTCCCTGTCTGAGAAAGGGCAGGGATGTCGCTCAGTGGTGGAGTGCTTGCCTAGCTAGCAGGTGTTCCTGGACCTGCCCTTCACTTCTTTTTTAAATCCTGTACCTCTAGTAACAGAAGTATATACTCCTTGTCAAAACAGTGACAAGTGCTACCCTCATATGCATTTGTAATGGAGCACAAGCACATAATAAAATGTCTGGTAGAATAAATTTTGGGAAGCTGAATCAGATGTGTTCAGTATACTGTGTATTTCGCAAATACTGCCTCAAAAAGGGAGATACGATCAAGCATTTCAGACATTGCTGCTCTTTCCAGGGTCTCAGCGTCTCCTCAAGAATGGCATCTTTGAAGATAATCTCAGGAGTAATAGGGCAAGAATTGGTAATGGAAATAGATGGACCCATGTGGGATCCCCTCTGTTGAGGTAGCAACGGCCTCCACAGTGTAGGGAGCAGCCTGCTTCGTGAGTCTGTGGTTCCTGGGGAAATAATGTTGGAGATGTGACGTTATGGCCTCTGGAGCTTCCAAAGAAAGCTGCATGGTTGTTACTAGAATCAATACTACCTTCTGATATATTCCCTCTAAATCTATTCTAAGTTTTCCGCCAAATCTTTTAACAGATTTTTTTTTTTTTTTTGGTACTGGGTATCAAACTCAGGACCTTGTGTTTGCAAGGCAGGCAGCAGAACCACTGAGCTAAATCCCCAGCCCTCTTTTAACAGATTTTTAATGTTCATTTATAACATTTTTATGTTCACAAATCAAATAAAGGTGGTTTATGCTTTCCTACTGGGTTACCACTTTTTACATTGTTTTTATTCAGTGGTTTTAGACCCTTGAACTCAGTACATTAATCTGTTATTTCCTTGAATGGCAAAAGATGAGAGAAAACTCTTTTGTCAGTTGGAATTAGAAATTGGAGTTGAAACAGTTATGTGTTCTGTTGTTAGCCTGGGCCTTGCACATGCTAGGCAAGTGCTTCACCGAACTATACCTCTAGCCCCTATTAGCTTTTTGTAAAACTTTAAAAGTTTGTTTCTGGTCTTTTTTTTGTTTTTCTTGTTTTGAGACAAGGTCTCACTGTGTATCCCAGCCTTTCCTCAAACTCACTGTGATCTTCTTGCCTCAGCCTCCAAGTGCTGGAATTAAAAATGCTACCACACCTGGCCAAAATTTTTAAAATTTGAGAGACTCTCAGCGTGGTGCAAAAATCAGCTCTTCACCCAGCTGATGTGTGATCTTATTACCACTGGTATAGCAGCAGTCCGGATGTAGATGTAGTACAAAACTGGTAACGAGACTTCAGCACTTAACCCTGCTTTCACCATTTTAAAAAACTCTGTCTGTGTACATGCATTTGTATGCTGTTTACCCATTAACTTTTTAAATGTATTTGTTTTATAGGAGTTTATACAGAGAAATCCTCTTCTTATCACTGGTGTCTCTTGGAAGAGAAAATATTGATATTGGTAAGTTGGTTAATTGACTAACAAGGGGTTTTTAGTTTTATTTTCAAAGGTAATTTTTAAAAATTATATATAGCTGGTATAGCTGCGCATAGTGGTGCACTCTTGTAATCCTAGTATTCAGGAGGCTAAGGCAGGATTGCTGAGAGTTCGAGGCCACTCTGAACTACATAGTGAGTTCAAAGACAGCCAGGTACATAGTATGACCCTGCCTGCAAAAAAAAAAGACATAAATGTGGCTGGTGGGCTTCGGGTATAGCCCAGTGGTGCGGCATCTGCCTGTCATGCCGAGGCCCCAGGTTCAGCCCCAGCACCAAAGGAGGCTGAGGAGAGGACTGTAGCTGGTGTGTAAGTCCTTGCCTCTGAAGAGTTCTACCGTTTAAATATGTACTTGAAGTACACATATTTTGATTTAGAACCATTTTTAATGCAGTTTTTAAAATTAAATTACAACTGTATTTTTGAAAATGTTTTTTCAGAGGCATTCGACAATGAATATGGAGTGGCATACAACAGTCTGTCTGCACAGATTCTGGAAAAGTTACAGAAGATCGATGCCCCACCAAGCACCAGTGTGGAGTGGTGTAGAAAGTGTTTCGGAGCACCTCTCGTGTAAATAAGACTCGTTAGCGCTGGGAGAGTTGATCTGGAATCGTTCAAGGCTTTTTCACAGTCCTAAGAATTGGTGAAAACAAATGAAGTAATGAATTGTAATTCACTGAATCGTCTCAAAATGTAAAAGGCCATTAACATACCCTGAGGTTCATTGATGTTGAAGATTCTCAGCTTGTGCATGCTGCCTCTTCTGGAAATGGTTTTGGATTTCTCAGTATTTGTAGTAGGTTGGTAGTAGTACTGAGAAACTGTACCTATGCCAGGTGCCTGTTTATAATTGATTGAAGCTGTTAGGTTTGGGAGATGGCAGAGGAAACCTGCTACCCCAACACATGGGCTCTTTCAAGCACAAGAGCAATTCCTTGTGTGAGACTGTATAAATGTGGGGCTTTGTAGGTGTGTTATGTCAGTGTGTATTTATTAAAATTCTTAGACTGCATGTCGCAGTAGTTTCATGGTAGGGTCTTACTGCCTACTGGTGACGACTACTAAAATCATCTGTAGTCGTTAATCTCACAATTACCTGAATGCCTTGACAGTTGCCTTCCCTCTGACCTTAAATTTAATATATATCTTCCCCTTTTACATTATATATTATCTTGCATTATGAATTATATCTTAACTATCCAGGTACTTCCCTCCTTCTGTCCTCTTCCAATACCATGTTAATTTGCAGTGGCTTTAAAATTGGCATGAGTCCAACAGTTAAGATGAAATAAACTTCGTAACTACACTTACTTGTAAGTTATGCTTAAAGTGCTAAGGGGTGTATTATCTTCAGTCCTGAAACCTTTGTTCAGGCATGTAAATTGTTGCTATTAGTCACATAAAAACCTGTGGGATAGCTGGGTGTGGTGGCCCATGCCTGTAATCCCAGCACTTGGGAGGCTGAGGCAGGATTACCACAAATTTTAGGCCAGCCTGAGCTACACAGTGAGATCCTGTCTCAAAAAAACAGAACAAAAGACCTGTGGGATAAACTTGCACTGCACACAGAAGTTGTATTCATGTGTCATATTTAATTTGTATGTTCATGAGTAAAAATGTGTATTTGTAAATACTATTTTTTAGGTTGAATCAATGAAGTCTTAAAATTTTGAAGCTTACGGAGCTCACTGCCTGTGGGGTTATGAATACCATGGCCTCACATGCCTCACTTTGACTTTTATCACGCCTTTTGTTAAAAGTATCCACGGGACAGTAAGTTTGCCTTAACTCTCTGCATGGTTTAAAATGCCGATTGCTGAATATGTGCATTTATAATAATTCTGCAGATGACTAAATCACAAAAGAATGACTTTCATATACACATGTACAACCTTTTAAAAATTATTTTATGGATCTATCAGCATTTAAAGGGTTCATCTGACCTGTGTGGTGCAGGCTGAATTTATTGTCAGAATGCTATGTGAAAAGACTTCTTAGAAATTATATACAGTCTTATCGTCAAAGTAGACCTTTTGCACTATATAAAGAGTACATATTTTTGCAATTTACATTTTAACAGTGACCCAACAAATTTTGGAATACCTTGCATATAAAAAAATTGAGGTTGAATAAAATGAAGACTAAATCTTAGATTTTCCTGTGCTTGTCTGTTAAATTTTAAGTCTCTTGCAATCTGTAGTATTAATTTGAACTTGTGTGATTATTAGAATCCAGTATTGCTTTGCCATTTTTTTGTTTTCATAAGTGGAACAAAATTGTTATTCGCCAAAATACTTCCTGTTTACAAACATCTGTGATGGAGATTTCTTTATACATTTAAAATTTAAAAGCAGCCGGGCATGGTGGCACATGCTTGCACTCGGGAGGCTGAGACAGGAGAATCACAGTGAGTTCAAGACCAGCTTGTCCTATAAAGTATGAGTTCCAGGTCAGTCTCAACTACATAGTGAGACCCTGTCTCAAAAAAACAAAACAAAACAAAAACCAAAAAATAAATAATAAAAGCTGTATCGACTTTAAGGTAGTGAGTGTTTACATTTATCAAAGGTAGGAAAAAAGAATTATATTTTGCTGAGTGAGAGTGAGCTGAAGAATTCAGTATCTGTCAACTTTTCTGACAATCTTACATTTTAAATGACTTAGCATTTATAATCTTGGAAACCTTAGCATGATTTGTACTGTATCTACTTTTATTTGCCTATACAGTAAAAAAAATTACAGGAAAAAACTAGCACGTGTGTAGTATATGCAAAACCTTAAAAGATCTCTAGAATGACATAACACTCTAAGACACCTTAATCCTGATTTAACTTTGAAAAGCAGTCTTTCAGGCCAAGGATGTAGCCCCCTAACAAGCACGTACAAGACCTTGGCTTAGTACTGGGTCTACCCCACAGATGTTTCAAATTACTTCAGATTGTTTAGCAAAATCTTAATTTAGGCTTTGATACTGTCCTCTAGTTGCATTTTGTAGGTTGATTACAGCCAACTAGTTAATAATGACTTACCTAATGAACTTAAGGTAGTGAACCCTTGACTTACAAACTGTTCCTGAGGGCTGCTTTTAAAAAGTTGGTCAGGTGCCTTCAAAGTCCCTCTTCTGTGTCATTTCAAGCCACACTGTCTTCCCAGGCAGGTCTCAGCATCCTTAGACACCGGTCTAGGATTTCTCAACTGCACACAGAAAAGGACGTTGTCTTGTTCCTTCCAACTCTAAGGGTTAAATCTGTGAGACCATTTGGAAGCACCAAGTGTCCTAGCATTCAGGTTGCAATTCAAGACTTTGTTCAAAAGTGAAAACAAATTGAATGTCAGGCCTGTTATAACTTGGAAGGTCCACTGTAAATAGGCTGCTGTACATTCTGGTCGTGTTGAGTATTTTTGCAGCATAAAAGTAACTCCATACATCCTAATCAGAAATTCCCAATTCAGGATCAAAGATTAAAAGTTTAGATCTGCTTTTTCATGGCTATATTCATTGAAATCAGTAAGTTATATATTTTTCATGTTTTGTGCCCAGCTACTGAGGTACTGGTTAAATACTCAGCCACACATACCATTCTTGTGGCAATAACCCTGTTGAGACTTGTCTTTTTGTCTTTGGGTAGCTTCAAGAAATGCTTGTTCCAGGGCCAGGGGCTTAGCTCAGTGGTGCTGATGCCTCTCGCAAGCACAACGTCTCAAGTTCAATCCCCGGTACCAAAAAAACAATCAGCAGTAGTCTATAGTTATTTGCCTGCTTGGGAGCTTACATTAAAATCCAGTACTGATCTACTCAAATCTTCAGCCCTTCCTCCAGGTAATTCCTATTCAGGTTGTGAAGCAGTTTTAGGCTCCCCAAGGTAAGATTTAAATAATTTTACTTATCTGGTAAAATATGCAAGGTGATCAAAATATATGGTGTTTAAATTTTTTCAAAACTGCAGTGACACAATGGCATTAATCCCCCTCAAATACCCCTAGTTTTTAACACATTTATTCTTGTCATTTTTCTGAAGCAGTTCTGGTCTTCTTTCCAATCACTGAGGTGATAAATGTAGTGTGGATGCTACTTAGTGCCACCCAACAGAAAGGGTGCTTGTAACGGTCTTATCCATATCTGGCTCCATGGCCAACTATCATGAAAGGTACACATTTTGACCCTATTCAAGATCTAACTAAAGACCTAACTAACAGGTCACTCTACAAACTGGTACCTTAGGGGGAAAACAAAATCATCTTTCACTGACTCAAGTCTTGGGCATACTGCAGGGGATAGAATACAGGGCCCAGTGCTTGAGGCAAGTACCTGACCACTTGGTTACATATAATTTTTATGTGGATGGGCAACTCCTTTCTTCAAAATACGATAAAGTCAAAGCAAATAACCATAGCTAAAGTGCTATTAATATATTTGCATTGGCTTGAAAGCTTTTGTGAATTGCTATAAAAATGGTTCTCCAATAACACTAGTTTAACAAACTCTTCAGAAACCGACATGCATTTTTATGAGGGAGTTTTTCTGTATTGAGCGTAAACATGAACTTAATATAACCCTGCAAGATTAACAGTGGTAGTCTTTTATTTTTTCTAAATTACTGCATGCCTTTCTGAAGCAGTTTTATGCTAAACATCCGCTTTTGAATGTGGACTTAGTGGTGCATACCTGTAATCTCAACACTGAGAGGCTGGAGGATCACAAATTTGAGTCCAGTCCCAGCAACTTAGCAAGACCCTGTCTCAAACGTTGGGAACATAGCTCACTGCAAAAGGCCTAACGATTCTTTCCTGAGCCATTCATCTCCCAAAGCAGACTTCTGTTGTGGCCGCTCCTTCCACCAAAGCAGTGTCAGCTCTGATCCATTCAGGTACTGGGTTACTATATACCTACTTTCATTTCCTACAACGCATGTGTGCTTCTATTCTCTAGTTACATCGCCAATGAAAAGCCAAAGGAGAACTGAGGTCAGATTAATTTATTTGTTATTTAAACATCCTTATTTTTGACTGGACTCAGACTTGGAAGTAGAAGCTCTCAGAGAGGACAGCCTGCGCCTCTTGGCGATTTGTTCCTGGCGTTTTTCTTTGGCTTCCTGAAACACAAAACACAACTCAGATTTTGTCCAGGTGAAAAGTGCAAATAGAGAGTCATTCCTGCTTCACCCCTCCCCAACCTTGGACTTACCTTCATTCTCTTGGCCAAAAGTTTAGCATATTCTGCAGCCTCTTCCTTGTTTTTCTTGGTACGCTGCTTCTTCAGAGCGATACGGCGGCGTTTGTGTTGAAGGACACGTGGAGTAACAAGACGCTGAATCTTAGGGGCTTTGGTCCTGGGTTTCTTACCTAAAAATTCAGGTGACTCAAGTCATTCCTCAAAACAGCTCAAGGACAGAGTGTTGCACAGCATGCATGTGACCCTGGCTGGAGTCCCCACACATACAAGCACAAAGCCTTGTTAGGACACGTTTAAGTTAGTAGTACCTCTGAAAACTTATTAGTGCCCCATCACAACAAAAATCTGAGGCTAAATACCATTAAAGTATAGGGAAACTGTACTCTGTCTGAAAACTACTTTATTTATTATACTTTTAATATGTTTATCGTGTCAGTACTAAAATGGCATTATTTTTAGACATTTTATTACAGTCAAGTCAACTATGTAAAGCATACACTGGACACCTGTGAGGTTCCCCTATAGGCCTGAATGTTTCCTGTGACAGGGCTCATCAATTCAGGGAAACAACCAAATGTGTGGCTAAATCTTCCTTTAGTCTTTCTGATCTGTACTCCAACCTGCTAAGGGCTCTAAGTGCACTCTGGAGCAGAAACTTTTCAGATAGGTAGTTCAAGGTCACTGGTCATACTTTAGATTGCAAGAGTAAATGCTCAGTTGCCCAGGTTCTGATAAACTAAAATTATACCTACTACAAAGAGACACATTGCAAAAACACCTGCCACTAGATTACCCATCTATAAATAACACTGACAGTGGTTTGCAGGCTTTTGGGTGCTGCCACGCACCTGCCAGCTACATTTGCTGCAGGGTAAGCTTCCTAAAGGTAGGAACCTACCTACCTACCTACACCGTCTTCAGCACTTGCCACATGACAACGGACAACGGAATGAGGCCAGTGCAGACACAACATACACTAAATACTGTGATGCCTCAGTCCATGAACTGTTTGTAAGTAATTTGGTTCCATTAACAAACGATGCATCAGGTGACACCACCTCACCTGTCTCCCCCAGGTGTAAACCAGTAACAATCCTGTAAAGCAAACCAAACCTCCCTATGCATCCTACTTAATGTAAACATTACACATTTCACTATTGATGCATCTGCTACGGACCTCACACTCCCTTTTATTTAAAATACTTTAAGGTGAAAGCACTTTCAGTTTCACAATTTTCCATCTTTCCCAAAAGGAAATGACTGTAGTGTGCACAGAGTATTATTAAAATGAAGCCACAAACTGCACGGTCCCTCTCACCTTCCTTGTTTAACGGCTTTCTGACGACGTACTGGCGGACATCATCTTCTTTGGAGAGATTGAAAAGTTTGCGAATTCTGCTTGCTCTTTTGGGCCCCAGGCGGCGAGGCACAGTAGTATCAGTCAATCCAGGAATATCCTTCTCCCCTAAGAGATGAATGTAAACGATATTTTAATTCAGGAACTTCCCTTATAAAGTTGAACTGCTCATTTAACTATACTCGTAAAGATACCAGTCCATTGGTCGGTGTGCAGACACCACCAACACAATCATGTGGGTCAACTTCCAACAAAACACCGAGCTTCTAAGCATTCAAACCTCACCTTTTTTTACGATAACCAAATTCAGAACGCTCAGATTGGCATCCACAATGCAGCCCCGAACGGATTTGCGCTTCCTCTCGCCGGTTCTCCTGGGCCGGTAACAGGAATGCCCCTTACTCAGCAGCAGGCGCACTCGGCCGTGCGTCAAGACCCCCTGCTTCATGGGGAAACCTTGTTTGTCGTTCCCACCACTGATTCGGACCACGTAACCCTGCAGGGGTATTCAATGACACATTTACTATTCCTATCCCCAAATCTACTAAACATAGGACTCATTCTAAGACAGAGCACGTTGAGTTTGTCAACTGCACATTTCCAAATTCCTCTCACGTTACATTTGTTTTACTGCTGATAACACTGACAAACATCTAAGAAGTCAATTAATGAACATTAAGTAAAAAACAATTCCTTTTTGGCATTTCAAATCCCGTGGAAACAATCCAGCAGCTATCTGACGAGCCTGCGATCGTCACAAAGGAAATAAATGTGCACAGCGGGAGCTACGCGGAAACATTCCCAAGTGAGGCACGCACGGTCGAAGCCGGTCGGTCGAGTCCATTTACGAACAACGCTAAGGACTTCTCCCTAAGGTAGGCACAGTAATTCGGGAGCCAGCGTTCACCTTCCACTCTTCGCCCAGAGCGTCGGCAGCAACTTCTGTGGCCATCCGCTTCTCGTAGAAAGTGCGGAGTTTGCGCTCATCGTCCACCTCGATGAGTTTCTGGCAGCCGGTGGCTGGGAAGGAGATGTTCAGCTGAGGAGTAAGGGGAAGGGTCAAAGCTGAGGATAAAACCTCCCGAGGGGGGCCAGAGCTCATTTCGGGCAGCTGAAGGGAGGCTTCAGTGGTTCCGGAGCGGGTCCTCCAGATGCATCCCAACACGTCCACTGCGGACACCCCTCGCCCGTCCACGCCACCTCAGGTCTAAGACGCGGGCACACGCCGCGCACCCCAGCACCGCCTCGGAGCTAAAGCCCGAGCTGGGACGTGCGGGGAGAGCCGCGGGC